CCCGGGCAACAAGAGCAAAATTCCATCTCAAAAAAAAAAAAAAAAAAAAAAGACGCTGTGATTCCAGTCCTCACTATATCCCCAACAAACATAAATGAGAGCACATAGGCACAAGAGGACAATGCTCATAGGATGAACATTTGAAAAAACAAAGAACTGGAAATAACTCAAACATCTATTCACAGGAGAACTATAAATAATTTTGGATATATTCACAGAACAGAATGTTATACAGAGGTGTAAATAGGTGAATACATATTCAGCTATATGTACCAACATAATGCCTGTGTTATTTGAACTTTAGGAATTAATACTGAGTAACAAAAACAAATTACAAAAGAATGTATATAATATTATGTTTCCAGTTCTTGTGCAATATATGCTGTTAACTCTCTGAGGTTATTAATTATAATAAATAGATTTTTTTCTTTTGCTCCTTGCATTGTTCTTCTCACACAGTTCTTTGTGATTTGCTTGTTTTCATTTCTAGCTTCATCTTAACGGTTTTCTTCTCTTGCCTAGTTATCTTTTGATGCCATTCATGTTCAGAAATAAGGTACTAAAAGTCTTACTTGTGCTCAGGTGGTATTTTTCAACTTATCTTGCTCCCAGTGGCTGACTGGGCAGAGACCTGGTCGTTTGTTGGAGACCTTCTCAATGTTCATATCTGATAGTTGTTTCCTGAGGAAGGTATACCCCAATCATCCGCTGGATGGGTGTTGGCCTGGCTGCCAACATGCCCCACCCAAGAAGAGGGGGTTAGCTGACCATCTCACTGTCCGTTGTGCAAACTTCCTCTGTTTTCATGTGTGCTTTATCTCCATTTTTAGCTGTGATAGTTTTCTCAGAATCCTCTCTTGTCTTTTTGTTCAGTATCTCTGAAATGAGCAGTTCTCAAAGTATCCTGAGGGGCTCTGAGACTCAAAAGTCTAAGAGGTCGAAATTATTTTCATAAATAATACCAAGATGTTATTTGATTTTTAATTGTGTCAACATTTGCACCAACAGTGCAAAAAAAAACTGGTGAGTAAAATTGCTGACAGCAAGAATCAAGGCAGAAATTGTGTGATTTTCACTATTATTCAGCCAGAGAGGAAAAAAAAGCAAGTAAACTTTGAAATGTCCTTGAAGATGCAGCAAAAGTTATTAGTTTTATGAAATCTTTGCCCTTGGGTGCATGTCTTTATAATACTCTGTATTATTATAATATCCAAAGGAAAAACATACATATGTGATTCTTGGAGCTGTGAGCTGAACTAGCCACTTTTTTTGTGGAAACACAATTTTTGCTTGAAAGAAATGGCAATCTGGCTATTCAGACTTGGGTATTTGGTAGACATTTTCTTGAAAATGAATAAAATGACCCCATCACTTAAGACAAAATGGTGTTGGTTGCCAATGATATGATTCAAACTTTCAAGTGAAAATTAGAATTTTGAAAAACTTGTATTTGCTACCACAATCTTGACAGTTTCCCAATAATTTAATATTATTGTTATGATATTGGGGATATTTTCAAAAATGTGATTTAAAAATGTTGTGGAATAAGCCATCAATATTTAGAGGATCTGTATAACTTGGTGAGCAAATATTTTTCAAATGATCAATGCATGATCCTACTAAATGGTGCAAGGATAACATAAATCTATTCGAAGTGCAAGGCAGATCAATAATTTAGATAAGAGCATACCAAAAGTTTATTGATATGACTTTAAATTTTACATCATGACTAACCTTTAGAAATGTTGAGTTTTGGTGTGTTTGTAAGAAGAGTATACACAATTATCTCAAAAGACTGTTAAAATACTGTTTACTTTTTCGTATCTGTGTGAGGTCATGTTGTCTTCATTTACTTCAACCATAGCAACATATTACAACTGTTCAAACACAGAAGCAGCTATGAGAATCCAGCTATGATTTATTGAGCCAGACATTAACATGCTTTAAAAAAAGTAAGACAGTATAACTCACAATCAATTATTTTTATTTTAGAAAACAAAACATTTTTGATCAAGAAATGTTATTTGTGTTAACTTGTAATGGGCTATTATTGTTATTTTTAAATGAATGAGTGAATATTTTTAAATTTCTAGGTTTTAAATTTCTAATTGGTAAATGTCAATAAGTAGAATTCATATAAACCAAAGCTCCTTGGGAGTCCTCAACAATTTTTAATAGTATAGGCTGGGCATGGTGGCTCATGCCTGTAATCCCAGAATTTTGGGAGGCTGAGGCAGGCCAATTGCCTGAGGTCAAGAGTTTGAGACCAACCCCCTCTCTACTAAAAATACAAAAATTAGCTGGGCATGGTGGTGGGCTCCTGTAATCCCAGCTATTCAGGAGGCTGAGGCAGGGGAATCACTTGAACCTGGGAAGCAGAGGTTGCAGTGAGCCGAGCTCACACCACTGCACTCCAGCCTGGGTGACAGAGGGAGACCCTGCCTCAAAAAAA